ACACACACACACACAAACACACACACACACACACACACAAACACACACACAAACACACACACACACACAGACACACACATACACACACACAACAGCTTGATTACTGCTGTCATGTTACGCAATACGACAGCCTTTAAACCTGAGTGCACTCTTCCAGCAGCGCAATGTGGTTCCTCTTTGTATTGCCATACAATAACGTGCCCAATTGGAGTAAGGTTCTATGCCCAGTAGAAAGCCGTGATGAAATAGCTATAGCACCTTACACCAGCACTCAGATTACACTCTTTACAAACGCCAAAGACACTTTAATATGGCAGACTAGCAGCACAACAAAGACACTGTCATATCTGTATATTCCAAAGGACATACACACAACAAAACAGGAACACAAATGTGCTTATTACTTCGTTGTACAAGCACTATGCGTGTTGTTGCTTTTCTTTAAAATGTTGAAATGTTACCAAAGAACTGAAAATGTCTGAACTAATAACGAAGTAAATAAAGTATGCGACTTTTATAAAGTATTCCAAACCAATGCGTCACCAATTACGAGAATATGCGTCCTCAGAGGGTTGGATATGGCAAAGACCATATGACATTTTAGATTAAGTAAGAGTTTTACAGAATTTGCAACGAACTAAAGTCATATACAAGTGTGAAAGATTAGAGGTTTTACAAGAGAGTAACAAACACAAAAAGAAAGACTTTAAACTATTTTCCTGAAAGACCAACATTCTCTTCGACATTTCTGTAAGGTCAATAGATAACAACATAATATAAAATGTGTGGCTTTGATTTGAAACCAAGCTCTCGTCAAAATGATGAAATCAAAGAAACTGGCATTTTCCTCTTCATAGTAATTTCATCAATATTTGTGCGGTTTGTATGGTTTGGCTTTAACGCTACTTTTACCACGGTTAACGTTTTTTTAAAAAGGGGGAGGGGGGGGGTGTTATTTTCTTTCATTAATCCTATATCTTTGCTACGCTTGGATGCGCATGGCCTTTCATTCTTGCACGGTCTTTGCGTTCTTAAACTGGGTCGACACTTGTCTAAGTGATCCGACTTACGTTATTTGATTGAAACAGAAATCCAGACAAACAAATGCACATATAAAGAGATTTCTTTAAACAGAAATGGGTAAATCCTAGTGCTCTTCGCCTTTATTCAACAATTGTTTAAGGCAATTTTTTTTCTCTCATAACGCATTTTCTTCGCGCTTTCCACTGAACTGCTCCCCCCCCCCCACCTTACCCACAGGGAATTAAATTAAACTTCGGGTCTCCTGCAAGCGCGAG